CTATTATTTTTAGTCCCAGTTCTCTCTGATCTGAAGATCTACAAATATTGGAGACACTTGTTGATGGCACTTGGTGCTGCAAGTCACCAAGTAACAAATTAAAACAAAAATTCAACATTCAAAGAAATATTTCTAGACATCACTAAAAAAAAAACCCAAATGTGAAGGGAATTTCACTTTCTAACATGCAAATTTAATTAGTTTGGCTTCTATTGAAGTCAGTGTGACAAAAGCAGGGAGAAAAAGTGGATTTTCCCTAAGATAGTATGCTGGTCTGCCTGTGAATTTATCTTCATGTCGAACACTGAGCTGTCCATCCTGAGATCAAACTGGTCATGAGTTTAATAACAAGAATTCAAATTAACTTCAGTCTCACCAGAATCAAACTACAAAACCTGGAGCCATTAAAGGATATCTTGTTTGATATTTACACCAGTTCTACACCCTTACCTGCAGCATGTAAGAGTGACAGTCACTGTTATGTGCTCACAAGGAAACAGCCAGAATGCTCACCAAGATTTTCAGCAACTTATTCAGGACAAAATGGCCTAATACCAATAAAACTTGAAGCAAATTCTTCTTGTAAATATTCTTCATAAATTCTGATAGTTATCAGTATAAATATTCTTACCCTAGAAAGGGAATGGCCAACAAAAATACCCTTTCAGTAAAACTGCTAGGTCTTAATGCCAGCCATGAACTCTGCATGTCCTGTTATTGCCACCCATTGTCATTTATCTCTTGTACTGTATCTGTACCCAACAAACAATACTAAGCCAGGATGAATGGGAAACGAAAAATCACACACTCCAGAAGAGATAAGCTAATGTCAATTACCTCTAAAACTCGCAGAAGTATCATAAATAAGCAAAAATTATCTATAAATCAACACTGGAGTAAAATACAGATCCTGGTAAATACACTGATAAGCATTTCAATATTTAGATAAATTTAGATAATTCTTTTTTTCCCCCCCTGAAAATAGAAGTTACAATGTTAATGCACTGGAACCTTTTGTAAGAAATTAAGAAGAAAACACAGCAGGAAACCAGATTATCCCAGTTAAAGAGTTTGAGCACACAATTCTAAAGGAAAAGCTCATTTCATGAGTGCTGAATATCTCCAAGTCCTCTTCTGCATCCACAAACAAGACAGCTTAAACAAATTGTTCTGCCAACATGTCTGGAAAGAGATCTGTGTGTCTGAAGGCATCTGGTGCAGATACCATCAACTAGGCATGAAATGCAAAATAATGATGTTTGCAAATCACTTGCTGACAGGTTTTATTACCAAACCTGACAAAGCATTCAGTGATATGGTTAGCAAGTGTCACCCAGCAGCACCAGAGCCACTGCCAAGCCACAGCATGCCTGACTCTCCTGGTGTGTTCAGGTGAACAAAGTGTTTGTATTACCAGACAGACATCACACACTTCTACAGAGGATATAGAACAAGAAAGAGCAGAAAGAGATTTTGAGCTTCCAAGTGCTATATTAATGAACAGCAACAGTAACAACCATTAATACTCAAAGAGAGATGTGAGTCCAACGAGATTGAACACAAACTTTATCAGTACTGTCAAGTCACTTGCCCATATATCTCTGCAACTTGGGTATTTTGCCCAAGCTCCAACCACTTTTCCCAGAGTATTGTGCTTCAACACTGTCACCTCCTCTTCAGTAACTTCTGGTGACCCCTCAGTATGGCTTTACCCCTTCATTCTCCAGTCTCCTCCTGCACACTCCACAGGTTTTACATGGAGAAATAAAATAGGCCTGAAAACCACACTCTGCTGCTCAGAACAACTAAACCCAATAAGGAGATGAATCCTCTAAGGTTATCAGTTTATGCTTCTTTCACTTAGGGAATGGGGATTTGTCCACATCTGCCCCAACCATAACTAGCAACCAGCAGAGAGAATTGCTCACCTCCACCTCTCAACAGTGCCCACACAACTGTAACCCTAAATGTTTCCCATTGCTAAGAGATCATGCCCCTGGAAGGGACAAGGTTGTTGTTTTTTTTTATTTAAGAGAGAGTTTAGAGCACATATATATAAATAAATACACATTATTGGTGTTTTTAAGAGTAACTTACACTTTTACCAAAAGAAAATCATAAAAATAAAATAGCTTTCAAGAATACAATTTGTGTGCACACATCTTGTCTGCACATTAATACCTGAGGTTAAAAATAAAGGCTACATATTGTGTCTATCCCTGGGTAGCTATTCCCAAATGCATTTCTGAAGGATAATCTCAAGTATGGAATAAGCAGTCATGCAGTTATTTACCTTTATGGCATGTTTGTGAGCTAAAAGGTATCTCAGATATGTTGAACTGTCTTGTTGGCTCTAGAATTATCTTTGCCTAGAAGAGTGTTAGGCAGTCTCTCTTAGTCTAGATTATGCCTTTGGAGCATCTACTGAGAAAGCCTTTGATTCATGTACTCATGAATAAAAAGCACAAACCACAAAAGCAAATTTATTTTATGCTCCAGGAACAGAGAAGGGAATTAACAGCTCACTCCCAGCCCCTTCCATACAAGAAATAAAGGTTTGTTCTAATAATAGCTCCCTTTTCACACTGGGTGTTTGTCTCATCTGAGATCCTATTAACTGAATCTCTTCAGCCAAAAACTCAGCATTTTCTCTACACCAGTTTCCTACCACTACAGCAAAGCATGGATTGAGTGATGGCTGCACAGGGAGTGCACAGCCTGGGGGGGAAAAGGGAGACAAGCTGAGAGGCATGTATTGCTTGCTTCAAGACCTGTGTTTATAATCTTTAAAACTAGAAAAGACACTTGTACACAAAAGTACCAGACCCTGCTAAAACATGCCACTGGGAACACTGAAAAAATGTTTAAATCATTATGGAGCACACAAAAGGGAAAGACTTGGGTGACAAGCTAATAAGAAAATTCAGCTACAAGCAGCAGAGGCTCTTGTTCTCTGACTTGGGACAGAATAGAAATAGATCTGCATGGACAAGGGACAGATTTAAAAAATACTCCTCTGGAAAGTTCTAATTAATACACTTTACTTTAGATAGAAGCTGGCTGAGAGGGTGCACCCAGTTCCTCAATTTGACCCAGCTTACACACAGAATTTGCTATGCCAAGGAATGAGATTTCTTGCAATCATGATGGAAGTATTTCCACACACAATACCACAGTGAAACCATCAGTGCCATATTATGCAACAGTCTTTGGTCAGTGAAGGGTTTCAAGAAAAGAAAACATAAACCCCATAACACTAATGAAGATAATAAAAATCCCTCCCTGACTAGCCTAAGTATTCCAAACCTTTTTAGACACTTACTCTATCTGTTACTGTTACTTCTTCAACAAAAATAAGAAAGTAGGATCTGACTAAAGTGTATCTATATCTGCTTCCCAAGGAACCTCTATATGATATAATAGGCTGCCAAAGATTTTATCACTTTCAAATACATCCACTAGCCTACACTAATTACATGTGTATCATTTCTTTAATGCTAATGGCTTCTGTTATTCCACTATTTGTGCATGCAAATGCACCTCAATTGCAAATTCTGTAAACCTCATTTCCCCTTATTAGAATCAAATCAGCTGAGATATAGCAGCCAAGGGCTTTAAATTTATTAAATTCAACTCTAATGTTGACTTTGTTGTCTATTCCATCAAAGTCTTACCTACCCATTAAAATTATATGCCTCCATTCTCTGTCTGTGCAGAAAGAAACTGCCTAATATGACCAGTGGTCACAGGGAAGTTAGTGCCAATGCAGCATAAAGCACATCAAATCTCAGGCTGGGCTCAGCTTTCTACTCTGCTCCCAAGTCTGGCAGCATAAAATCTATGTCTCCTTCATTCTCTGAGACAGCAATGCTATAATTGCCAAAGGTTTTTTGCCAAGGGAATAGAATTGAAGTGAAAAAAATTCAGTGGAAATTTAAATTGATTAGAAGTTCCATATAATTGTAAGATCTGATGATAAATATCTCCTTTCCATTCTTTCACCTTTAGAGGAAGAGATGCACATTTCTTTTCTCCTGAAAACAGTCACAAGCATTAGCAATCAGGGCTCTTAGGCCCTAAGCCTCCTGTTCTGAGTGAGATGATGAAATGATCAGAAACTAACTTCATCCTTCTTTCAAATCCAAGCTACAGTAATTCCATTTGTGCCAGACCTCTCAAACACCATTACTTTCCAAAGCAACAGCATACAATAATTTCATGGCTCTAGGTAGTAATTGCCTACATTTTCCAAAACTTATGTGGAAACAGCATCTCCTCCCTCCCTCCTCTGTGACCCTGTAACTCAGTAACAGGCTCTTACTCAGCAAAACATTTTCAGCCTCTGCTGCATAAACCATTTTTTTTTTGATTTATCAGGTACTTAATTGTTGAATGCTTACTCTATCAGCTGTTGCACTTGCTAACTGAGCACTCTGCAAGGTTTCTTCTGCTCTGCTGCTGCAGCTCAGTGAGCTCCACAACACCCTGACTACATGCCACAATTGTACCAGCTTTAAAATAGAACACCACACAGATGCATCAGGGTCTGTTAGTCATTGCCTTAACAGCTCCACCAAGCCATTAAGAATTAAAGAATCCAATGTGAATTAACTTATTTTAAGGCTTCTCTATTAACATAACAAAAAGGATGGTCCTACTGATATCAACCTCCTCTTGCATGAGGAGAACTTTGATACTACGATTCTCTTTTGCATAATGCATTATTAAACATTTCTTCCTCCTCTGTGGAAATAAACCCCACAACTCCTCATTTTAAAACATGCTATCTTATAGTTAATCAAATATTTCTGTAATTTAACTCACTGAATGGGTCAGGTTGGAAGGGACCACAGTGGGTGACATCTGGTCCAACCTCCCTACTTCAGCAGGGCAAACCTAGAGCACAGACTCACCTGAGAGCTGCTGGCATTGCATAACCTTTGTAGGAATTAATTAATAGTCACCTGAAATAACTACTTTTAGCACAACAAGGATTTTACCTGCCACTTCTCTGAAGTGCATATATGATGCCTTTTTCCTGGAAAGGAAGCAGCTTCTTTCTCAGCCTTTCAGGTAGAAAGGACAGCTTAGCATCAACATTTTCTGAATGAGAAGCTCCAAGGGTAGGTGTTTTCTGGAGAGAACTAGCCATGTTGAACCTGAGGGAAACAAAAGGAAGGGAAAAAAATTGTTGAAATATTCAGTATCTACATAACTGTTCTTGAGTATTGAGAATTCTTTTCTGGAAAGCATAAAATAATGTACATGCTGGAAGAAGATCCCATCACCTCATTATCAACAACATATTCTAAGTGGAAGAATAGGATGGAGAAGGATGAAGAGGTCAGCATGTATCACTGCCTTTATACTATGAAATAGTTTTTCAATAAAGTTCCCTATTCATGCATGAAAGTTATTTGCCATTCAAATAGAGTTTGCTCATGGGCACTGAAATATAACTCTCTTAGTAAACAGTTTTCAGAAGAGTTCTAGGAAAAATTAGGTTATTTAAGCTTCTGATGATAGAATTAACAGTCCTCTATAATTTTTAATCCTAAAAAAATCAAATCAGAAAATGAAGGGGGAAATATGCTCATTCTGGGGAAAGGGGGGAAAAATAGAAGGGAAAAAATAGAAAAAAAAAGTTAGTTACTTTATTTGCCTCGGAAAGAAACAAGCTTAAACCACAGAACTAACCAATAAAACTTCTCATACTGTGCTTCAAATGAAAAATGTGGATTTCTTCACCCATTTTTGTCCAAGGGACAGGCTCAGGGAACAAATACTAACTTTTGTTCTCTTTTAACTTCAATAGACTTCAAACAAACAAACACAAGGTTTTCAAGCTCAGGAGCAGTGCACTGAGTGAACACGAAGAAAGCAACAAACCTCCCATCAAAACATTACCTAATTAGTTTGGGTTCATAGTCTGTGTGAGGGACAAAGAACATCAGCCAAAATATTGTTGTTTTGTATATAACTGTATTGTTAACAGTACCACCAGGTTTGATAGCAGAATCCTGACCATGGTACACCCAGATTTTTTGATCCTTCATTTCTGAAGCAACTGGGGAGAAGTCAGATCTGATGTGTGGGATGAACCACTATACTCACAAGAAGAAATGTGCTGAGCTACACAGTCATTCACTTCAAGAACGTGCAGGACTGAGTAACCTGCTTTTTTTATACTGACTGGTTACAAAGACAGACCTGGGGACAATGCAAATAGTTGAAGTGATCAGCACCACAAGGCATGAACATGCAGGACAGAGCTTGCAACAGCTTCCTTCTATTGGCATGGAGCACAGGTGAGGAGGCAAAACAAACTGATCCAGGTGAAACTGTATCAGAATTGGTCAGGTTGGAAGGGACCACAGTGGATCATCTGGCCCAACCTCCCTGCTCAAGCACATGGCACAGGATTGCACCCAGATGATGCCACATTTCCATTTATGAAACATTGGCTCCAAAACTTGTAGTGCACTATTCCAGCTGAAGTTAAATTCTCTTTAGTGAAGTCAACCTACAGTTGGAGTGCTCTCTGTCTGTAGCCCAAGCTGGGAGAGCTTGTCAATGAAACAGCCAGTTATAGAGAAAGGAAATAGAGATTTCTTTTGCAAATCAGACATTCTGTGTCATCCAAGTGTAACTGCACTATTGACTGTGGCACTGTTTTTTAAGTGGAATGTTTTGCATGTCTTCAAGGAAACAATATTGTTGTACCTTGGGCCTCTGGAACATTCAACAGCAGATACCAGGACTAAGAACAGTTGCAAGTCTCTTTGATGCATGCCCACCACAGAACCTTGCTGAACAGAAAAGGAAAGCCTCTAGCTTGCCCTGTGTGCCCAAGAGAAGCATTTCACAGAAAAGAAGTCATACATCTCTGGTAAATACCTGCTTCAGCTCTCATTTAAACAAACAGAAATATTTCAGCTCCAACTGTTGGGAAAGCAATCATAATCACTTCAATAGTTCTATCACAATATTTTCCACAGAGTATTTCATTCCTTTAGAAGTTGATTAAGGTGCTTGCTTCAAGACTGCTGGCAAGAAACAAACACTAAACATTTCTGTAGAGCTGAAATTCCATGAGAATTCTGCAGGATTGGTGGACTCAACAAACCTGTTCAACACTCAGTTCTGCACTTCACCTCCAAAGAAAATTTGTGACTCATTTTCTGCGATAATTTTCTATTCTCTAAAAGCAGAGATAATTACATACTTCTGATCAGCTTGCTACATAGCTTGTTGTGAGTGACAACACGAGAATGAAATGTTAACATAATTAACTTTCTGTTGAATTAGATCATGACAAGATTCTTTCACTGAAACATTGAATAGGAACTATGCAGTTACAGAAGCATAAATCTGAATTAGAGGAGGCACATATGAGTCATCAGTACACAGCAATACTACCATGAAAAATGTTTCTGCATCCATCATTAACAAGGTTAAAACTGACTTTGCAGATCTGTCTTAAAAAGCAGCAACACAGAAAGCTTTAACTACCAGAAATGGACAAGTTTTTGTTTAGCTTTTTCTCTAGGTGAGTAATTAAATCAATGGATGGTGGATAATTATAGACTAGATGAATAATTAAAGAACTCCACATGCAGTGAACAATGACTATTATAACAACATATACAGTGACTTTGGCAGTGGTGGTCGTTTATGTCTTGTTTTGAGACAGAATAATTATGTCCAACACTGTAGTAACGTCAAGAAATAAAAATAGCCTTTGTTAAAGAATAATTTACTCAGTGCATCAGAAGATCAGTTTGTATTGTTGTTCTACCCAGTACAGACCAAGAAGATCTAAGGAGAGAGAGGAAGATTAGTGCATGTATTCTCTAACTACAATTTCTCTGTCTTTCATATGTTGTAATACACATCCCATCCACCTTCCCACTTCTCTAGATCACAAGCCCTGGAACTTCAGCTTTTTCAGACAAAATAGACCTAAAAGGTTCTGTGTGGACACTAAGCTTTTCACTCAGAGAGTTCATTCAGCTGCACAAGTTTCATGAGTCAAAAAAACCCCAAACTGTATAGCACAAGTTTCATGAGTCAAAAAAACCCAAACTGTATTTACTCAGGTCTTTTAAAGGAAATCAAGGATGAAATAGCTGAATTGATAAACCCAGTAACTATTCATCTAAAATTGCTTAAGTATTCCAAGACTAGCTAGTGGTAAATGATCCCAGCATTTAAAAGCAGGAACGAGGAAGATTTATAGGCCTACAGCATAATTCATTCTCAGGGCATAAAAATCAGTAAAAAATTATGAAGTGCAGAACTTGTGAACACCAGGATAAATGCATCTATTTGGTGAGAGTCGACGTGTCTTGTCAAGGTGAATGTTTCCTTTCGAGTCTGCTGAACTCTTTTTTGAAGGGGCTCTAGAACAATGTACATATAAACTGGCTGATGCAGTCCAGTTCCCACTATTTTTCAAGACTACATTAAAACACAGTAAGAAGCAATTAAAACTTCCAGGAAAGGATTTGAGAAAGTGTCTCAAACTTTTAAGAAAGCTGAGAAAAAATTGCACTGAAATTCAATCAAGCACAGTGTTCATACATCACCAAGATCTCTGGTCCAACTTCTATTATGCTCAATGAATAACAAATGGTCTGGAAAAGCAACTACTGAGGGATAAGGGCAGTGCAAATACTAGTGAAATAAGATACAATTTGAAAAAGACCCAACCTGGGAATTCTTTCTGTCACTGCTACTGCTACACTGCATTTCATTATAGACTCTCATCCTTCCAAAGGTATGAACAGACTCAGCTTGCTGAGGACATCACCCCAGGTGACATGTCTCTTTATTGGAACATTGGGTGCAAGACTGATGAGCATTTCAAGGACTATTTTAAGTTTTCCAATAGCTGTTTGTCAACACAAGCTCATTACATAATGTAACCCCACTGCTTGTTTTCACAGGCCTTTTAATGCAGCCTAGCAGCAGATGCCTAAAACAAATGAGTCTTTCCATTAAGGGTTTTGCTTCATAAATTTCCTCTTGATGGTCCTAACTGCTCCATGACTGTGTGTTCAATAAAACTTAATAGGGAATTTAAGGCTCTGAGAACATCACTGAGACCTTGGCTGATTGATTAATCAACCATTTTTTCCACCAATGGAATAATAAAGGGCTGAAAACCTCCCTAAGCCATTAGAATATAGGGTTTTAAAGAACACTGCAAGCAAAAGGAACCAGACAGTGCAAAGGACATCACACGGTTCTGTAGCACAAAAGGCCAGTGTACCAGGCTGGAGGAAACAGATACCTTAATACCTGCCTCGGGGCAAGTGTTTTGTTGTACTTACACAACTCCCTGCAACAGCAGAACCACCTGAGCACACACTGCAAGGAGCAGCAGCAGCAACCAGGATGAATACAACTAGTGAGGCCTCCTGGCACAAACACGGGCTGAGAAAGAACAGAATCACACAATCAATCAGGTTGGAAAAACCCTCTGAGGTCACCGAGCCCAACCCATGACCTAACACCACCACGTCAACCAGACCATGGCACTAAGCGCCACGTCCAGTCCATCCTTAAACACCTCCAGGGATGGTGACTCCATCACCTCCCAGGGCAGCACATTCCAGTGTCTAATCAGCTTTTCCGGGAAGAAATTCTTCCTAATGTATAACCTCAACCTCCCCTGGTGCAGCTTGAGGCTATGCCCTCTCATCCCGTCGCTGAGAGAAGAGGCCAATTCCCACCTGGCTACAACTCTCAAGGAGTCGAAGAGAGTGCTCAGAGCATCCCTGAGCCTCCTTTTCTGCAGGCTAAACACCCCAAATCCCCTCACAGGACTCGTGCTGCAGACCCTTCACCAGCCTCACTGCCCTTCTCCGCACTCACTCCAGCGCCTCAGTATCCTCGCAGCGAATCTCCCGGGACGGAACCACAGCCACAGGCAGCGCAGCCCTGG